AAAGGTTCTCTAGAAACTCCTGGGGCATAGGGAAAACTAATGTTAGCTGTTTGCCCCAGTTGCATACTCTCTCCTCCTTTTTATGCTGCTGAAGTAACAGCATAAAGTAAACCAGAGCTAGCGCTCCATGTGAGGGTATATAGGGATGTTAAAGGGGTCATGGGTGGAGTGAAGTTAGCAGAGGGCTTCCTGAGGAAGAACTGGAGAGGATTTTTAAGGCAGCAATAGCAAAGGGCTTCCAGGGAGAAATCTGGCCTTGCAGAAAGGCCTCTGCAATTTTGCTTTTATTTGTGGCTTTTGTTGAAGTGCATCCAGAAACTGTCAGTAGGTTTAACTAGAATGAGGTAGCTAAAATTACAAAGGGGAAGGTTAGGGAGAAAAAAAAGTGGAAGGCTATAGAAGAGGTTGCTTTTCGGATGAGTCTGGGAAATACTGTTGGAAGGGAGGTAGGAGGAGCAGGAAAGGACTCTGCAGTTACAGCAAGAATGTGCCAAAAACCAGACAGTGCTAGACAGGGCTTTCGGTGTGTAATAGGAAAAGGTCATTTGGGGTGGTTGCTTTGGAATTGTACATCTGCTGGGTTGCCATAAAAAGCACTGAACATAAGGAGTTTTCTACTGAGGCTTCAGAAGAGCTCTGTTGTGCTTCTGATTGCAGTAGGGACTATGTTTTTTTGCCATTCTGAGGAAGATTTCAAAGACTGCTGGACTGCAGAATGTGATACGATCATGTTGCTTTGCAGGTGACTAGCCAAGGAAAGGTAAGGGCCTGTAAATAAAAGCCAGCTAATGAGCTTGTGCCATGTTACATCCATTTCATACTGAGGATCTGGGGGTGTACCGCCTTTCTCCTATCACCTAACAGTCCTGAATTTTGTGGAATTTTTGGCCAGGTAGACTGTGTAACACACTGTCAAAGTGACTGGCAAAAGAGTAATGTCCCTTGTGCCTAGTCACCCCGCAGCATATACGTGCTGTGTTGTAGATTGACTGTTTCAGCTCATATTTCACATGAAATTGTCTGACCTCTTAAGCGGGGAACACCTGACTCCTAAAATAGTGTGCAGTTTGGTTATGTATGCTCCCCGCAATGTAAACTCCTCTGACAGGCTCCTGCCCGTGTTTTACGGCCTCTCATGCCTTCACACTAACACTTAACATCTGCACCACAAAATTTGTAACATCAGTTTGTTCAAATAAAGAATCCACCAAGCATTTAATCCTTGTTTTAATGGCTGATGTTTATTTTAGTTTGGGGTTTCATGTACTCATGGGGGGATTCTCTGCCCATAGTCCATAAATCACACGGGGCAGGAGTGAGACTTCTCTGTGCTGGCTTGCTTCCGAAGTGAGGCTCTAGAGATGGGGGGGTTTTTGATACCTTCATAAAGTTGACTCACCTCAGGTATGAGTTGCAGATGCGTTTAATGAGGATTTTTACTATTGGTTTTGGATCTTTTTCACCTCTTCATCAAATGTCTGCGAAGTGGGATGTGTGTATTTCTTTTGTTCTGTTTGTGATGGTTCATCCATGCAAATGATAGTTGTGTTTTCTCCATGTGCTTGATTATGCTGGAAAATTGTTCGCATGTGTGGCAGGCAGGAAGATGCAAATAGAGACCACTCAAAGTAGCCCTCTGCAAGGACAAAAAGAATAGTTACCCTATTGAGGAGCTACAAACTTAAAAAAAAGGGTGGGGGGACACGACACGCTCCACGGCTGTTCAAGTAGTTTGTGTTGCTTTGCCTTGCCTCTTCGTAGTGTATCACCAGTGACCACCTGAGCTCTTTGTAGGCTCCCTCGAGTCCATTACATATTGCCTGTTTTAAGTGCTCTGTAAGCTTACACTTGGAGAATGTGAGGGAGAGGATGAGAGTAAGAGCCCAGATTCTCTAAGTTAGGTCACTTTGGCTGTGTTTCTAGGTAAGCCTGTGGGGTGGTAGTTTTCCACACACAACCTCTAATCCCTACCACCCAGTGGAAAGCAGCCAATCCACAGCTTCAAGTAAAACTCATGGAGGAACGGGGGCCAGAGGCTTTGTGTGAACCAAGACTGCCCAGCAATTTGCCAGGAGTCCCTTTACGCTGCTGCTCTCCAGAAATCACACCTTTCAGAGTTTTGTACAGCTGCCTTCTGCAAAGAGGTGCCGAGTGGAATCGGCAAAGCCTCGCCAATTCCTTCATCTGCTTCTGGTGGAGGGACCATGCCGGGCAATCCTATGGCAAATGACCATGGCATGACCTCTTCTCCCCAGAGTGCAAGCTACAGTCGAGCATAATGGGTTCCTCCTCTGACACAAGTGGCTCCTTTTCCACCAAAAAGGAGAGTTTTGAAGTGAAATCCCAGAGTAGTCTGAATTTATTTTCTTCCGCTTAAGCCTTTTTTACACAGCTCATTCAATGCCAGGCCCAGACATACCTGAGTTTAGGCGTAGCCCCCCATAAAAGCTACTTCTCTATAGGTAGGAGATTTATACCAGCTGAAAACCTTTAATTTATTAGGGAATTACAAAAATAAGATTTTGATGGGGAAGTGCTGTTACTTCCAGGAAGGTTCTGATTGCTACAGCAAGACCCAAAAGGTCAGTGTTCTTAGTGGAATAATTCAACTTCTCTTACTTTTTCTCTGATTTCTCCCCTGGTATTTATAACCTTGAAAGTATTGCAGCTAAAGATACGTGGGTATGCAGAGGGAGGGATGGGTGGATGAATGGAATGGAATGAATAAACACACAAACAAAGAAACATGGGAGCTTGTTCACAGAAGTTTGGTGAAGTCATCTCCATCTCATAGCTGGCAAATCAAAGGTGCATTAATCTTTCCTTCTTTCTGGTATAGTCACTCCATTTTATTTTATCTTGCCTTTCTAAAGCACTTAGGAACATGCAGATCCTCTGCTTTGTGGCAGCTTTGTCATGATTGGCCACTTTTCTGTAGCTGTCCTGCAGTCCATGTGAAAACAAGCCTCGAAACTTGGTTATTTTCATCTTTGCTGCTGGCATGTAGCTTCCATTATTTATGAGCACCCCAAGTTTTCATTTTTTTGCTTGTCCACGGGCTCCTGTCTGTCTTTTTAGACCCAGGGGGGATATTTCCAAACTCTTTTTAAAAAGATTCAAATCAAATTTCATGGTTGTTTTCTCAGTTTAAAATATGTACCAAGTGTTGACAGTTGATGCCTTGGGCAGAAAAGCATGTGCAGAGCTATACTGGATGACTGCTAGACAACTCAGAATAGGGATATGGGATGGACATGTGCAAATGTGCATATTGACAAGGCACAAAACGTATGAATGAGCAGAAGGCAGGGAGTCCATTTCAGGTGGGCTTTGGGGGGCTTACAGCTGGTGGATTTTCTCACCCTGAATACAAGAGGGTCAGTCAGGGAAAACTGATGATCTGAGTGCATTTACCAGCCTGGGAAAACAGGGAAATTCAAGCTGAATTATGTAAGGGAGCTGGTAAACAGGCTGTGGAAAAACAGGATCAGTGAACACTAACAGATCTGCCTGCTGCAGAATGGTGCTTTGCTAAGAGAGGGTCTCAAGTTAAATCTACAGAAAATTAAAAAGTGATTCTCTGCTCTGGGAAATGAGCAGCAAGTGTAGTGTGGCATAAGAGGTAGCTGTCTGATCATCCATTATGGTCTTTCCTGTGTCACTTTTGCATCGAATGTTGTGTTTATGCTTTTTCAGGACCTGCTGTGTGCTCTGCTCCCTTTTTCATTGGATAATCAGCATTAATACCAGTGTCGGTATCTTATCCATAGTATGTATATTGCAGGCTGAGCAGTAAGGAGATGTAATTTCAGTGAATCTTGGCAGTTTGTTTCTTATTGCAAAATAAATTTGTTTTAATTACTTCATTTGTTTTTCTTTCATTTTACAATTGAAAACATGAATACATTTTTTGTGACTCCAATGAAGTGAGTAGATTTAATTTCAGATCTGAACTTAATTTCTCCTTTGTTCATGCCTCAGCTGCTTTGCACATCTGCCTTTGAGCTGTGAAACACATTTCACCTTTCTGTTTAGAAGAGAACAAATTACTAATACATTAGTCCCTTAGTTTGGAGGAAGGGAGGTTTGACTTCTGTGTTTTAATTTTTGTGTTAACGGTAGCTGACCACTGCTTCACTTTCTAGTCCTTAGAATGGGTCCTTTTCACAGGTTCTTGTAACTTAAGTTCATTAAGGATCAGCTGATTTAGGGAGTCCCCTGCTTTTGGTACACATACCGCAATAAAGAGGCATGTGAGCTCTGCACGTAGGTGGCCGGTGACTGCAGCTGCTGGTGCTGGCGCTCATGCCAATAGCAATAAATGAGCAAAGAACGCTTGAGAAGGTCTTATCTAGCCTGACCTTCTGCACTTCTGGGTTTCATCCAGAGACTTCTGCAGTTGGACAATAATGCGTGTTCCAAAACAATCAGACTCAATTTAAAATTTTTGAGAACCTATCTTGTGTTCTGTTACATTGCTCTAGTAGTGCTGATAGCAAGTAAAAATGCAACCGATGGAAATATTGACTCCAGGACTGTCTTACAACTTCGCTGGATAAGGAGAACCTGCAGAGTCTAGAGTGTACATTGCATTGTGAAGCACGGTCTCCTATCCTGAAGTTTTCTTCAACAGATTTTTCCTTAATTAGCCCTTGTTCCATTATAGTGGAATGTTACTCCTTTCACAAGCAAGATTTCCAATTTCTGAAATTTTTGCAAGAGCATGACTTCTTGGTTTGAATTACAGTTAACCTTTTGCTTTTTGGGACTTCTGTTTTCCCATCCTCTTTCCTATTTGCGTGTAATCTGGTGGTCTCATGAGTCTGCACACAGAGGTACGGGTGTACTTGCAATGGAACCTCTTGGTTGCTTCTTTTAATCAGCAAAGAACATTTTAATTAAAGGTCATTGCAATCTGAATGTGCACAAGAATTTTTGTTGAAAAGAGTGTAAATGTTTTATTATGATCTGCCAGCCTTAATAAGTATTTTGACTTTTAGAAAAGAAGAGACAAAAGAAAATGAAATCAACCAGTGACTGGAGGGAGAGAAGAAACGCCATTCGACTTACCAATGAGTACACAGTAGAAACTCTGGTGGTGGCAGATGCTGATATGGTCCAATACCATGGTGCAGAGGCTGCCCAAAGATTCATCCTCACAGTTATGAATATGGTAAGTAGGCACTTTACTCTCAAAAGAATAAGCAAGAGTAAACAGATCATATCCAGGGTAGGTTAAAGCTGGCGTCCTTGACAGCTGAAATGAGTAACTGTTTTGACCTTGAGGTATGAGGAAAGGTTTTGGTTTTCTTGTGTTATGTGCCTCTTCTCCCCCATCTGTGTGATTCTCTGTATTTGCCTAAGTAAATCACAATAAAAAACCTTTTTGAAACTGAAATTGCAAGTTTTCAGTTAGGAAATTTTCCATAATTGTTCAGGAGTGGTGTTTTCTACCATGTTTTTTGTACTGCTATGGTTTACCTTGGAAGAGGGTATATCGGAGTGGATAGATGGTCTTGTCTGACATGATGTTTCTTGGCTTCCTAAAGATTTCCGTGGCACATCTGTTTCATAAGAGGTATTTCTCTGTGGGTCATTGTCATAGCGGGCAGTCAAAGTGTTATTGAAGACAGCAGTCATATTGATTTCCAGCAGAAAACCTGGCTTTAAGTCAGTTAGAAACACTTTTTATCTCTGATTTTTAGATAATGAAAGCAGCTGTCTCCCTTGCTGTAGGAAAAAATGGCAAACTTACCACCAAACTGCCAGCTGATCCCATTCTCTTTACCCCAGGACCTCTTGTGCTGCATGAAGTGGTGCTGATCATATCTCTGAATAGTTGATGGAGTTGGGCTTTAGAAGCATTCTAGAAATTCTGCAGAGAATCTGCCAGGAGGGAGGAGAGCCTTTTGAAATGCAAGCTCATATGAAGTGTGGGTGTTAATTTGTTAGCTCTCCTAGTAGTTAAGCCTTCCGTCTCAGCTGATAAGGGAACACAAAGCCTCTCCCCATGAGTGCTCGCTCACTCACTTGTGGGCAGTGCCAATAAAGAGATAATGGCTAAATTGGATGTGGACACTGAAAACGCTGCTCAGAGACGGCAGGGGTCCTTCCAGAGGCATTTGCGCAAGGAAGTCTTGGAGGAAGCTTGTATTCCTCTGCCCGTGCTATTGTAACATCCAGGAACTGTTCATTCTCCTGACTACTGCTCTGTTGTTGTTCATGAGCAGCAAATTGGCTTGCAAAAAAATAACAGTTCTTAATAGGAATTGACTGGTCATGCTTTCCGGTGAAGAGCTGAGTGATGGATGCTCAGTGCATAATCCGGCTATGGGACAACAGCTTTTTAAGAGGTCTTGTATTCCTTTATCAAGCACTGGTGTGAGGCAGCCCTCCTGTAGTGAAATGCTTTGCTGGTTAAGCAGGGAGTTTAACTAGTCTTTTCCATTCACAAGCTGCTTTTCTGTGTCCCTTCCTCTACCTTTTATTTTGCCTTTCTAGCATGCTGTGACAATAGTCACTTTATTTGGATGGGTTTGTAAGAAATGACTTCTTGCAACAAATCCATTCATGCCACCATCACTTCAGGGTCTACTTACTGGCTTTCTTGCATTTAAGGGTGTGTTTGCTGGGGGCAAAATAGCTTTATTCTTCTCAAAGCCACGGTCCTCCACCTTTAAATTCACATACTAGCTTTGCAGTGAGCAGGCAGAACATAAGTCATATTCAGCTCTGAACAAATCTGCTTCTCGAGTCACTTTTTGAACTAACAGAAATGGATATTCAGATGTAACATGTGCGTCAAGGGTGAGTTTCTTCCTTATGTCAGGTGCTTGGGACCTCGAGAAGGCTGATGGATGCTTTTTGTTTGCAGTGGTAGCCCAGGGGTCCTCCTAAAATCTGTTCTGCACCAATTCATCAGTGAGATAATAAAAATCCGCTATTGTGCCCCACAGTTCTGCTGGGGCTGCGACAGGGCATTATGGCTGTGAGAGCTTTTAAAACATGTATCTAATCATCTGTCTTGATGATCCAAGTGCCAGAAGGTCAATTTTTTCAGTGTAGGCACTAGCGCATCTCTATGTTGTGTAGCTTTATCAGCCTGTGAAGATTGTTAGGGTTGAGCATGCTGATAGACCAAGTCCTAAACAAAAGATGGCCATGAATACTGTTGTCTGTGCAGGCTGAGGAGTATTGCAGAACACCTCAGCAACATCAGCTTGCCAGGTGTGAATATATATGTATGGAGAGGTGCTGATAGATGGGTTGGGTTCTCTAAACCCATTTACTAAACAAATATTAAAGCTTAGTTTCCAACGGATTTGGCTGATGGACTTTTAAGCTAGGTCCTGATGCTGTAGTGTGAGCTCACCCCTTTATTAGACACTAGAGAATGCACATGGAAGAGGAGTCTTGGCTGAGGAACACATTTATCTGACATTTAAGGTGCAAAGTCCAGCTGAAATGCTTCCCACTGTTAAGTCATTGCTCCTAGGGGCTCACCCATGTGGTTTTTCTGATCTCTGATAGGATTTGAATTTGTGTTTCAGCTTTTCATCCTTCAGAGGAGCACTGATAGAGTGTCTCTCCTTTGTCTGGCCACCTACATTCCCACACTTGTAGGAACGTAGTATCTTTCAGGCCTCTACCTCCCTGAGGAAATTGGTTGTGAGTGGCTGGCGAGATCAGAAGATACTGAGGAATAATAATAGGCAAACACATAGATGTCATCATTGCATAAACCCTTTATTCTGAGGCTATAAAACAAGGTGAAGTCAAAGGGGACTTTAACATTCCATTTGCCATAATGAAAGCTGATCTTCATCCCAGCAAAAGAGGCTGAAGAATAATTCAGAAAATGTATTTCAGGAAGAGAGGGAGGATAGTCATGTTGTTTAGGTAGGCCTTAGCTGAAGTCTTCACTCAGCCACACTCGTTGGGCAGTGCCTGAGCCAGCCACGGTGAATCTTTGTGTGGTAGTTTCTCATCTGTAAAACTGTGGTATGAGGAATAGCACAACCCTAACTCCTTAGGGCAACATCTGCTACGTCCTTCTCTGGTGCAGGGTCAGTTGCGCGCTGTGTAACCACGCAAATGAAGGCCTCCGGGCTGCTTGGGATCTTGTTTCTTCCCTGCCTCCATACGACTTCTGTCAGCCTTCTGTGACTGTTAGTTGGGGCACAGGATTTGCCCCATGATATTAGGCAGTGCTTATTCAGCTACACTGCAGGATGGCGGGCTGCCTCTAAAAGAAACCAGAATGTTAATTTTGGCTTGGATGCTTGCATTTAAGCAAATAGAACATTACTGGTCAGGGGTATATTAACTTAACTCCTCTCTGTAAGCCATTACGTTTACTGTCAAACCACAAAACAAGCATTAAGAGGTCTTATTAATGCATTTTATATTTATAGACATTTTAAATAAAGTGATCTGCCTTAAAGTATTTAATATCTATTTATGTTACAAGAATTTCTGAAGGGGAAAAAAGTCAGCATTACAAAATACTGTTTTATTGCTCCCCAGGTAGATGAGAATCTTAGGGAAAAAAACCCCACCACCCTCCTCTAGAATAACAGCTAAGAAACACAGCAAACCCCTTTTGCAACCCAGAAATAACAGGTAGTACTTCATATAGCAAATGCTGTGTTTTTAATGATATTCTGTAGCTCTGACCATCCCCCTGAACAGAGAATAGATTCACATTAAAGGTAGTCATTTTTTTCTGAACGTCATTGTAGAGGTGCAAGCTCTTCCATTTACTAAACTAATATTTGAAGTTGTAAGACAGATTTTTTCCAAGATCATGGAAGAATTTCCCTCTAAGGTACTCTGTAATGTATAAGTAGGAACAAGCATGGCTCCAGGGCTTTGAGTTGACTTTTTTTAAGTCACCACCTTTAAAATGAAATATTTTCTTGTTTCCTGGCAATGTATTTGATTCAGCATGATTTTCCTAATGGGTGATTCCTGATGGCTTTGTGATAATGTTAAAAGAAAAAAAGCTGATAAAGAAGTTGTCAGATGCCACCGTGCACATCTGCAGCCTTAGTGAGGCAGTGAGTTTGTGGGCATGCTGGATGTAAGGGCGTGGACCGGGAGAGATATAAGCAGAATTAGAGAAATGCAAAGCTGGCTACTTAAATATAGGTGCTGATTTATTTTTCTAAGCTAAACTCCCTTGTTATTGAGCTTTTGCATGGTGTTGCAGTATTTGCATTTCAGTTCTGGTCTCCCTTTTGCATCGTTTGGCTTGAGTGCATCTCCCATTCATGCCCTTCTTCAGTAGCCGCCAGTATTTAGAACTTCTGCTAAATTCCAAAACAAAGTGCCTTTGTGGTAAAACATGCTTATTTTGCTCACCCATTCTGTTAGTCTGCATCTGGCAACTGTAATTTCTCATGGCATTTCATCCATGTGGAGGCTGTTTGGATGGATGTTCTGTTTCTTATGAAGTCCTGCATTGCTCTTGCGACACTTCCTGGCTTCATCTAAACCAAATTTCAGGTTTCTCAGCCAGCAAATAGACGACCAGGGCATTGGCTTTCTCTTTGCCCCTCTCCCCTTCATTTCTGTGTATCAGCTTACAGTAGCTGCCATTTTGGGCTTGGTTCAGGAGTAGGTTTGGAAGCATGAGGCGTGCACTGCTTTCTTGCAGGAGTTTTATGCTTTTGTTTCCTCTTGTGTTTTCTTCTCATCTGGGAGAAATGGCCAGTAAGACAGAAAGGAGATTCTCTGTCCTCATAGACAGGTAAACTGCACTGGCCTCTACTGTGGCTGGTCTTCATGACTTACGCTTTCAGCTTCCTGGAGAAAACTCTGATTCAAATGATTCTGAAGCATATGATAAATGTGGTAGGAGACCCTTTGGAAAGTTCTGTCCATGGCCATAGTGTTTTTAATGATGAGGAGTGACTGGTTTCAGCTAGTACCTGAACAGCAAGTTGTGAATGTTGGCTCCTTGCAATTGTGAAGAGCTTGCTTTGCAAACCAAGTCCCACTCAGACTGACCCTCTGAGCATTTAGGGACAGAGATGTCTCACTTTCCAAGACCACAACAGAGTAATTTAAAAGCTGCTTTCTATGGGTTTGAAAACCTAAAAAAAGAGTTGTTTTTTTTTTCTGTCCCTTAAGTGCATTTTTGGGGGTTTTGGAATAAATTACAACTGTGGC